CCGCCCGTCACAGCATCTGCATTATTTATAATCGGTGCGACTTTCTGCTCTGGCCAGCTCTGGGGGGGCGTGTTCAAAACAAACAGCAAGCTAACAACACCACAATACACGAAGAAGCAGAAACACAGCTGTTCAGATTTATTTTCTGGAGTTTTCTACTATGTGTTGAAAGTGGTGATATTTATGGGCTAAGTTAGAGGATGTCTCTAGATGTTTACATTTGGGAACCCTCGCCAGCAGGAGCTGCTGCTAGCCCGCCATGTTTTCAGTGTGGATCATTGGGCCAGTTACAATTTTTCTTAAGTGGGAAACTTCTGTCTTCACTGATTCTGCACAGAGGGGCATGGAATCCCCAATGACATAATTTGGCCAGATGGACACATAAAGCATAAACCAAGCTTTAGAGCACAGGCTGAGAACCAGGCCTTCTTGTCCAAAATCAGTGTGTGACCACACAAATGCGCTTCAGGAAGAGTGGTCAAAAATCCCCATAAACACTCCTAAACCTTGTAAACATTCTTCCCAGAAGAGTTGAAGGATGACATCACCATATTGAACCCCTATATGTTACGGGTGGGAAATAACTTAAGCTCATATGCGAGTCAAGGCAGGTGAGCTAATACTTAAGTAAGATATTTTATTTCTTTCATTCAAAGTTTTCTTCATATAAAACAATGCATTCATTGTTTTAATCTGCTTCCACAGAAACAGTTTCTTATCCCAGGCTGTCTCTCTGACCTGAGCACAAACATGCAGGCCTATGTAGTTATCTTCTCTGCAAACAAAATAAGCATATTTGCACTTCCAAAACGCCTTAAAACAAATATTGGATGTACAGCTTCATATTTACATATTGTTCATTTCAGTGTCTTTAATTTATTTCCATTATCAGGTTGTTTATTGTTAAACAAACTTTTTGTACATTATGAGCCCTTGAAACTATGAACCAACTAAATGAAAAAAATAAAAACGCCTTTGTTAATCTCTTGTAAAATGAGGCTTCCTCAATGACATCAAAAAGCTTTCTGTGTCTTTAAACCTTTATGTAAGCAATAATCAGTTTGGGAATATTTTTGATGAACTGTACTGGTTTGCAGGTGTGCCCCTCTTTGACTCACAGTTGAAGTTGCAGTGCAGGTAAACATCAGCAGAGCTCCTAGAAAACTGGAATATGTTGAAGAAATAGTGGTAGGTTCCTTCTTCATTTCCCTCCACCTGCACTGAATGAGAAAGTGCCCCACACCCATTCTTGATCAAGTCCTGTCTTGGCTCAGCAGGGGTTGACATTAAGGATTTTTACCACTTGCCCTTTGGGCATGTGGCTTTCACATTTCATTTGCCCAGAAACAATTTTTACTTGCCCAGTATAATGTTTGATAAATATAGTTCCTAACAATAATTTTTGTATATATATCAATGAAACATGTTTGTTTTTTAAATGTTTTTTTGTAATTCAGTATTTTTTAACTGTTCAGGTTCCTGGTGTGTATCTGCATGCGTCAGATAATGAACTCAAGCCTACATTACCGTGTTAACATTCTTTTCAATCCTTCCTGCACATTCTTTTCAAACTAAACTTTGCTTTAAACTGTTGTGTGCTTGGAAAAATATAAATTGTAATGTTAAAAATCTAAAAAAAACCTGAAAGGTGAAAAACTTACACTACTACTACTCACCAATTTAACATGTTTAGCTCTATAGCATTTAAATGCACCACTCCAATGTCTAAGAGAAAAAAATGTAATGATCATTTTTTAATGTATGACCTGCATCACTGTACAGAAGACTGCCATATGATAGAAATATTTACACTGTGCGCATACAGTTATTATTATTATTTTCCTAATCCCTGACTGATCATTTTTAATCTAGCGTGGATTATAGTATTTTGGAAAGAAAAGGCAACTTTCCAGTCAAAAACATTAGCAGTGGAAGAGATTCTGGAAAATTCAACACCTAGAGAAGCTGAACTGGGGGACCTTCCTATTTGAAATTTTGCTGAAAATGTTTGACAACAGCTGTTAACACTCAGTTAACAAAGTCAAGTTTATTTTTTGCGGTAGGGTATAGAAAACCTATGACTGGGAGGAAAATATTGAAACGCTTGCGTCCAACCCTGGTTCCTCTGTGCAGACAGCCTGCTGCAAAGGGAACTGCTACAAGTTCTGGAAGGCTGATTGTCCAGCAGTAAATGGACAAGTAGAGAATTGACATGATGGAAACAACCTTATTGTTCCTTCAAATGGATGTCATACAAATCCTGTTTTACCTACACAATGTGGAGGAAGTATTTTGTGAAATACCCTACATGTGGGGACTAACAGGTACAGATGGGGGCATTCAACTGTTCATTGCACGGGCCGGCGCACGTTTGTTGGTATCTCTCAGATCCATAGCGAGGCCAGTTTGTAGAACTTGGAGAATTAGGGTTAGGGTTAGAGTAAGGGCTAGGTTTTAGGGTCAGAGTTAGGGTCAGGGCTAGGTTTTAGGGTCAGGTCAAGGGTCAGAGTTAGGTTTAGGGCAAAGGTCAGAGCTGGGTTTAGGGTCAAGGCCACGGTCAGGGCTAGGTTATGGGTTAGGGTTAGGTGTAGGTTAGGGTTAGGGTTGGGCATCGGTCAGTAATAGTTAGGGTTAGAGTAAGGGTCTGGGTTAGTCCATATAAAATAAATGTAAGTCAATGAAATGTCCCCACATGTCATGAAAACACAGCTGTGTGTGTGTGTTTGTGTGTGTGGGGACAATTTCCTAGGAATATGCTACATTTTGGGGACTCATAGATACTTGTGGGGACCAACAACTGGTCCCCATAAGGAAAGTTTCTCTTCTTGGGGTGGGGGTTAGATTTAGGACTAAAGTGTGAATTGAGTTTAGGTTAGGTTTAGGGATAGGTATGTGTCGGCAATGGTTAGGGTAAGGGCAAGGGTCATGGTTAGGCCATATAAATTAGTGGGAAATGAATGGAAGTCAATGGAAGGTCCCCACAAGGATATTGTGACACAACATGTGTTTGTGTGTGTGTGTGTGTGTGTGTGTGTGTGTGTGTGTGTGTGTGTGTGTGTGTGTGTGTGTGTGTGTGTGTGTGTGAAAGAAAGGTTTGAAGTGTGGGGAATGACAAATCTGGCAAATGTTGATAGAATTAGCATACTTTTCTGTAGCTAATGGCGGAACCGTTTATGAAAGTAGAAAGATGCTCCAGTCAAGGGAACAAATTGTATTAGCAGCTAATTTTAAAGCTTAAATGGTGACATTAGATACATTTAGGAAATGTAAAACACCTTTTTCGGTAGGATTGTTGCAGAAAAGTCTCAAAAATATGGGGTTCTGTTAGTGCCAAAAACATGTTTATGTGTCTTCTGGTGTGTCCATGTATTGTGCTTATGTAATTGAAGTTACTGCTGGTACAACCTGGCGTTACAACCTGTCATTGTCCTCTGTTGTCTTCTGTGTCGTTACAACCTGTCATCAACTCTGTCGTCTGCTGTGTCGTTACAACTTGTCTCCGTTATACTTGTCATTGTCCCCGTTAACGGGGCGTTGCACTGCTTTTACAATGGTGGGTTGCTGCTGCCGTCGTGTGCCGTTACCTGGTTCCATTTGCGAGTGGTTGGCTATTTTATCTATATTGTTTTAATCTTTAATGTCACAACAGTAATAACTCCCTTCAAATCTGACTGTTCACACATATTAGCTCTGGTAAACACCTTAGATTTCAAAATAAGAGTCAATGACACAAACGCCTCTGCTGTAAAATTGAGCTTCAATGAGCATTACCATGGACAGGCTATAACAGCAGAAGAGACGACAGGTTTTAACAATAGAGGAGATGGCAGGTTGTAACGCCAGGTTGTATCAGCAGAGGGAGATGACTGGACAATGACAGGTATAACAGCAGAGGGAGACGACAGGGGAGAACGACAGGCTGCAACAGCAAAGGAAACAACAGCAAAATGAGATCACATGCTGACGGGTTCAACAACATGGTCAAACAACATAAAGGGAAGAATAATGCAATGCACGTTATCCCTCATGTAGACACGATACATATGCTCACAGCATATAGACACAACATATGAATCTGACATATAGACTTTAAACCACTACATATACAGCTTCCATTACATAGGGCACGATACATGCACACCTTACATAGACACATGGACACACCAGAAGACACATAAACATACCAGAAGACACATAAACATATTTTTGGCACTAACGGAACCCCATACAAAAAGTCATTAAGAAATGGCTCAAAGCAGTCAGCTAAGTTTCCTTAAGTAGAAAACCTTTAACCAATCTAACTATATGATTTTATGAACTGTTTTTGTAAAGTGCCTTGAGATGACATGTATTGTCAATTGGGTCTAAATAAATAAACTGAATTGTATTGATTGTTGCAGCAGCATTGATCCTGTTAATTGTTCTATGTCAACTCAGAAAAGAAGCAAAGACTGAACCTTTCCTAATTAAACCTGGGAATGATTAACACCAATCATTAACACATTTCATCCTCTAAGTAACCATGGGAATCCACATCTGGTTAAATGACCGGCAATTTCTCTCATGTAGAGGAAAACTTCACATTGTCTGGGTTTACTATCCTGATGTAAATTAACTACAAGGCGCCACCTACTGACTGGTTATAAGATTGTTTTGAACTTAATACCCTTGAGGACATAAACTGCAGAAACAGTAAAAGAAGTTATGTTGTTTTGATTTCTCTGGCAAAGTTTAATTCAATCACTGAATGATATTATCTTTTAAAGCAGGGGACCTCAGTGCCAGGTCAGTGTTCTGACGCTTTCAAATGTGTCACCTGAGTCAAATTATCAGGTCATGAACATGACTTGGAGAACTTGACTGCATGCAGAGAAGGTGACACTAGCCCTGGAATTCAATGTGTTAGAGACACAGGTGACAGTTGCAGGAAACCGGACCCTGAGGGCCACAATGGAGCAATACTGTTCTAGAAGGTCACAAATAGACCAAAAGAGGGTCACATGGAAGGTAACATTAATTAGAGTCAACAGATACTATATAGGCTTAATGAACTTTAAATTCACACAGATTGAAATTCTCTATTTTATCTGTACTTATCTCTGTGATAACTATACATTGACTTTAGTCAATGCTAAAATATGCATCAGTTATGTATTTTACCACACAGTATGTATGCATATTTAGGTCCATCAGCGTGGCTGATGGGCTGGCAGCTTGTTGTCCAGGTGGCCACAGGTGACCCATCTTACAAACTACCTGAACTATCATGAGGAGATACATGACCAGCATGCCACGGAGAAAGCTGCGAAATATGAGAAGGTGGTCGAGGTGACGTGTGTGTCAGATTTTTGGAGACACAATGTTGTTAAAGTGGGACACACACATTTTTGCAGCAAAAAGAAGGTAACAAACAAGCAATAATGTATTTAGTAAGTAAGAAGACGAAACTATGAGATTTTGCAAACATAAAAAAGTAAACCTTTTATTTTAAATTCTGTAGGTAGCACACACATATGAGTGATGTTAATCTAGATTAACATAGATTACTTCCAAGATTACAGAGAAATGAATCTAGATTTAAAAAAAATATATATATATTTATATATAAACATATACATAACATGGTAAAAAAAAATGTATAAAACATCCTCCTCATGTTGAGTCAACATCACTTCTCGTCACTAGATGGCGGATTTGATCCACTTTGAGAAATGGCAATGACTAAAAACACAAACACTAAACTTTAGTGTCTAGTTTTCTTTTAAACAGAGATATTTCCAATGCATTGATGGTGTTTGTGGATAAATGGGCCGATTAGTCTCAGACAGACCTATCCAGTTACTGTTTCTAGATCAGCTGAAGCAAACAGAGCATCTCTTTTATTACAGGAACAAGAACACAGCTGTTGAGGCTTTGTTTCTAATACAAATCACTGATGTTATTCAGAAATAATTACTTTCATTGACTGTGTTGGTTTGCTTATAATCATATCATCAGATCTGTAATCAACATTTTATCAGATGGAAAGTCTTCATGAATGTCTTGCAGTTTAAGTTAGGATGGATTCTGAATCCCGTCTCCTCTCTGCAACAGCCAAGAGTCCAACTCTGCTGAAAGATGTTTGGTTTCTGTTCAATAAAGATCCTTGCTGGGTTAACAAAGAGTAAAAAGAGTGAAAGCTGCACTTAGAAAGTTTTCATCACGTGGATCCTGAGGCTGGAGGTGGATCCTGCTCCTCACTCTAGGCTATATATACAGTATCTACAGAGATCCTGCACCCTGTGCCAGTCCAGTCCTTCCTTTGAATTCCGCTTTCTGTCTCTCTGAGCCCAGATGAAGACATTAAGCAATGAGTCGCAGTCATTCCTCCTGAGCTTCAGTGGAAGCACATCCCAGCTCCAAGCTCCCATTTTCACTTGGATATTTAAAGGGAGCTGTCAGAGAACAGGAGAGCAGATACATAGTGTGTGAAAATATTTATTTCAAATAGACCTCGAGAACGCCACCTGAGAGAAAAAAAAATGGATGACAAGAAAGAGATAGAGGTTTTCCTCCTTCTTTTGACTTTATCTTTAATTTTCCCCTCCGAATGTCAAGGTGAGGTTTACATTATTATAAATTTTTTTTACATTTAAGTTATTTACTATAAAGGTATATATGTTTTCTTTTCAGGCTCCTTATTTAAGATGTTTTTAGCTTTAACAATATATAACTATAACATTTGTACTTGTTTATATAATTGGTTGAGTAGATGCATGTGGATAAAACAGCCGCCGGCGCATGAAAATAAATCAGTAAGGTGTAAAGATCCAAGATAGAGCTTTTATCAGGTCCTTACCAACGTTCAAATAACTTTACTAAAGTCAGAAGAAGGTCAGCTTCAGGAAGTTTTCTGTCATTAAAGAGAGACTAGAAAATTATTTTTTAAAGTGTGAAACTTTACAAGCCAAATAATAAATAACCCTCCAAACATCAGCTGTTGGTTTTTATTTTAAATCTGGTCGGTCTGTCATAGTCTTGATTTAATCAGGAAAAACAGTTGTTGAAAACTGGGCTGAGTTTGATCAGTTTAATTTTAGTCCATTAATAAACAATCTAAAAATTATGGCTTATAATCTGAAAAACTCACATGAAGAGAAAAGGTAATTAGGAGAAATTTATTGATACAATTACTTGGTCTTTGGCGCTCAGATCTCAGCAGGAAACATAGGGCTGAATTTTGATAGATATGCATGGACAGTAGTAAAGAACAGGGCTGCTAAGGGTGGAGTGGAGATACATGAAGTTGGTGAGTCTGTAGACGTCAGGCTTTTGTGGATCAAAGCTGATTGTATGTCGCAGGGGGAGAGCCATCAGTTTCTTCAGTTGAACTCCCTGCTAGGCTTCATATTTCCATTTAGATTAATAGATTTGAAAACTGAAGTTAACAGATAAAAAAGGGAAGCATGTTCTGGTTTACTTAAGGCTGAAGTAAAAATTATGAAAGTTTGCTCCCATGAAGCAATAGTCTACACACATATATATATATATATATATATATATATATATATATATATATATATATATATATGTGTGTGTATATATATATATATTATTGAAAATTGGTCATATTTGATTTAAATGACTTCAGAAAAAGCCCCTTCTCTTCTAACCTACCTCCACTTCCTGTCCTCTTGTCACTAAAAACACCCTGCTGAATGACACAGAAGGCATCAACTTTCAATCAAAGCCCCCATCATAGATTATTTTAGACATCCTTCCGTAGTTTCAAACATGCACTGGGATAACATCTCCCACAGAAAGGTTTCAGTATTAGTAAGAGGCTAGGCCCTTAGACTCAGTTACTGCAATGAGATTTTAAACCTAATTCAGGTCAGTCAGATAAAAACGAATGGAATAATGTTCACAGTCCACAGCTCCAAATTTAGTTAGTTGATGTTAATATGGCAAAACTCTTCATTAGTAAAGTGAAATATAATACAGGTCCTGACTTCATTCTATAATTAGCATAATATAGTATCTCTTAGCTCTATATAGGTAAATTACAGGCCGTTTACCATCTCTTCTACTCTTTCCTATTTTCTTTAATCTTGAAAACTTTTGCTTTAAATCATAAAGAGACTAAAAGCTGCTTGTCATAAAAGTTTTATTTGACTAATTTTCTCTTATTGGACATTTTTCTAGATAATTTACAAAAATCATAACAAATTTAGGCCTCTTGTAGATGACTGTGGTCAGATTAAATCCCCAGAGACCATCGTTCAGTCTTAAGTTCTCCGAAATCGTGCTAGACTCTGAACAATGAGCCCTGAGAGATTTCCCTGAATCCTAAATTTGTTTAAGGGTTCCCCTAAAACATCTGAGCAGCACCAAACTTCTTATTCTGCATCTAGCCTGAGTCACTCAGAACCTGAAGTTCCCCTAAGATAATTTCAACTACAACTGCTAAAAACTTCGAGCTTTAGTTTTAGATCCTCCAAAATGGCTGCCTCAGATTTCACCTTTTCAACATCTTATTTTCTTTATATCATACATTATTTACTCACAATCCCAAATTTGAACTGGTACCTCCAACAATCTTATCTATAAAATCAACCAGAGGGGTGTGCAGCCCGACTTATTCTGGCTTTGATTAGTTCTTCCTCCAAACTGCATTAGGTCCAGTGGAAGAAAGAAAAACAGCTTTTTTGCTTTCCACCACCATATAAGTACAGGGTATTTAACATTTAGCATGTTTTTTTAAAAGGGAAAAGAGTTCTTTCATTTTTCAGGTATCATAGATAGGTTCAATATCTATTTTTGTTGTTTAGACCTTAATCTCTTGAACCTGTCTGGTTCTGTTCATCTCCTGTAGATCAGAGCAACGTCACAGCAGAACCTGGAGAGATCATCACTCTCCCATGCAGAGCTGCCGAGAACCACCCAGTCCATGTTGGAGAGTGGAGAAGAACCGATCAGGCGTCCGAATATGTTCTGAGGTACAGAGACGAGCAGTTTGACGAGGAGAACCAGCATCCATCTTTAAAGAACCGTGTTCATCTGAAGGACAGACAGATGAAGAATGGAGACCTGTCTTTGGTGCTGGAGAATGTGACGGCTGATGATGAAGGACTGTATCAGTGTTTGGTTGCTCAGGGAGGAAAACCTCAACTGGATCTCCTCCGCACCATCCAGTTGGTTGTAGCTACTCCTTCTGCTGCAGGTGAGTCTTTCCGTCTTTGGATCAAAACCTCCAGCAGCTTAAGGGAAATGGCTCAGATCCAATGTCGGTGTTTCGTATAAATGCTGTTGGTGTGCCTCTGTAGAAAGCAGCTGGTCTTGGAGCAGTAGGTGATCTTCCATCATCTTAGTCAAACTAACATCTGGTTCTCTTCTACAGGGGAGAAGGATGGAAGCAAAGAAGATGGAACTAGCCGCCAACATTTTGTGCTGATACCTGTAACCGTCTTGTTCTTTAGTGTACTTTGCCTGGTTTGTCTTTGTAAGAAAAAAAAGATGGTGTTAAACACATCAAATGTGTGTAAGCACTGACACATCTGGAATTGATTCTCTACCAGCTGCTGCTCTGCTGGCTTTAAGTTCCTACTTGTATCACTGGTCAACTTAAAGCTTGGGGTTATGTTTCTCAGATTGCTTCTGGTGTTTGGGGTCTATTAATTGGTACTCTAATCCTTTTCCTCAAATGACGTCTGCTGAGATCACATGCCTCAAAATGTAGAATAATTGGTGCTACTTTGACCAATAGAGGTTTTAGGGAAAGATGGATCATGTCACATGTGCTAAAAGAACATCTGAACCAGTATAATAAAACAAGCTTTAATGATCTTATAATGTTCTTTCAGTGTTAGTGAACAAAGGGAAAGCTGAATTAGATGGAAAGGTTAAACCTCAACACCTTTCACTGTGATCTATGGAGAGCTGTGATGTGGACTTAATGAAAACAGTGATTTAATGTTACCAGGCAAAGCATTAATAATTTCTTATTTAAATGTTAGCCATAACACAGTAGCTTCCTTTATAATTCATTCCTGCAAGACTTAAGCTTTCCACCCCAACAAGGAGGCCTCAGTATTCAGGTTCGGTTGATCATGGAACAAAAGACTCATATCTTAAACAGAAGACAAACTACCAAGTTTATAAAGGATGAGGTATGACCAGCATCCAATTAAAGAAGTGAAGGAGCTAAAAAATCTGCACTGTTGACCTGCTGAGAGTTATCTTCTTTTTAATCTGTTTACAAAATCACCATCTATCCATTGTAGCAGAAAAAAACAATTCACTAATGTACAGTATGCTGTGTTATATAATTTGTCACTCAATAATCTGTCATGATTTTATCTAAGGCTCGGACCCACATGAAAAGTTTGACAGATTTTACTGAAGATGTTCAGCTCGGTGCAAAGTCGCTCTGAACTCTGCTCAGCCGGAACTGGAAGATGAGGGGAAGACAGACTATTAGTTCAGGCTCAGTGGGAAATTTGATTCGTGAATTTGAAGAAGAGGATCTGGTTGTTGACTCACGTTTCCAGAGAAGTGAAGGATCCTTGACTCCAATCTGTATGTTGGTTTTCCAAAGTTTGTCTGACTCGGTGGAGGGCGGAACAGGGTTTACCCAGAACTCGGACGGTGTAGGGGAACAGAAACACTGATTGCCACTCAGATTTCCTGCTGTACTTGAACGGGTCGTGGTGAAGATGATTCCCTTGCTCAGATAGTAATTTCAACATCCTCAAAGGAGACTGGATCCAAACCTTCTGTTTGAATCCCCGGCTCAGTTTAAGGCTCAGTTGATGCCTCCTGGGAGAGGAGGTCCAAAAAGGTCCAGTTTGCAGGAAGACTCCTGCCGAGAGGCAAAGACAAAAAAACAAAGTTAAAACTCAAGGAGACAAAAACTCAGTCTTACTCAGTGAAAACTCAGCTTGGCTAGAGTACCAAAAACTGACAAACACTCTGGGGTCGAGGTAGTGTCAATCAGCAGCTTAAAAGCACTCCGTAAATGAGGTAACCGTCGGCAGGTGTGTGAGGAGGCGAACCGGAACCAGGCGCCTCCTGTTGGTGGAAGGGAGACAAACACTAAAACAAACACACAGACAGGAGCCCTGACATAATCTTTGTCTAAAGCATTAGGCACATAAAGCAATAATCTGACTTTTCTGTGTAAAACATTTACAATTCTGCCTGCTGGTCATAAAAATGCAAATCCACATTTTGACTCTGGTCCACAACGTGGTACTTTAGTTCTTCTGGGGTCCAAATGGCTGCTACTACTGTACATTGAACTCATACCAGTAAATAAAGACACATGTCCTTTTTCAGCCAAACTAGACGTTTTAAAACAGTTTTTTTTATTTTTCATTCAAGACTGAGCTTTGTGAATCGTGCAGGATCGCTACCTGTTTATTTCAAATGGTGTACATTTTTTGAGTTCTGTTTGTTAATTTTTTGTATTTTTTGTGAAACATTTTTTTCTCATTGTTTCCTGTGTCGTATTAAAAATCAACTGGACTGAATTTTACATTCTGTTGTTTCATCTTTTAGATTCATTCAAATATTTCATAGAAATGAAGATCTGTTTAAACCGAAGATTTCTGCACCATTATGCTTGCAGAGTTTTTACTTTATAGTTACCTAAAATATAGCACCTACTATATATCTTCAATTATCAAGTCTTGGTTTTGTCTATGAAACCAAAACTCTCTTGGTAAACTTCCTATTATCTACTTTATAATTCAACAAAGTCTGCATAAACTAGTGAAGGGAAACCTCAAAGTGGTGACCTGAGTCACCACTGATCTGTCTGTGACAGTCTGACTCATGTAAAGTCCCAGGAATTTCTATAGTGAAGTCAGATCTGGTCTGTGTGTTGAAACAACAGAGAGTATACAAAACTGCTAAAGAAAAGACACTTCATATCCTAATTGTTTTTAAACCAGAGACTGACTCCTGGTTTTTAACATTCATAGAAGCATCTGTTCACACCAGAGGAACGTTGGTGGAACAGCGAAGATAGCTCCACTTCAGGGACCTCTTGTTCCTTTTTATCAATGATGTTGATTTCAAGCCTAATAACTAAACATGTTTATAATCATGCTTACACCATAACTCGAATCACCAAAGTGGTTCTTTCTAACTCGTATTAAAATCACCAGACAAACAACTGTCACTAACTTCTGTAAAAATAAAAGTTCTGACTTAATTAGGTTATAACTTCTCAGTTTGGAAAAGAAGACAATTTACAAGATTAGAGAAATTTCTTTACTTTGAATTTATTTCAAGAAATATTCTGAGTCAATGTTCTGATTGGCTGCAGGGTGTCTATTAAAGAGGTTCTGCAGGACAGTAGACGAGGATTCTATAGTTTAGTTTAATCTGTTCATTTAAAAGACTGCCTTCCAATATCAGCCTGTTTTCTGATTCAGAAAAAGGAAAAGAAAGAGACATTATGAGAAGAAGGAGTTGCGACACAAAGAGTTGACTATTTAGAGGATGTTGAAGATGAGGTAAGCACAAAGAAACCACAGATAAGGCCTAATAAAACAGCTGAGGCAGACTGAGGTGAAGGTTCTGTGGCCAGAAGCTTGGTGACCCGCCACAATAACAGATGGGTCATTCCTACCACTGGGTGCCATTTGAACAAAGAAGAACTTGTTAAACTATCTTTAAAAAGGACATTGGTGAAGATTAGGATTTTTATCAAATTCTCTGCAGAAGTCAAGATATCCAGCCGGTTGCAGGAAATTAAGGCTACGTTTGCACCGCAACCTGCATTAACCCAAATCCCACTTTTTTGCCCATGATGTGGGGCGGGGCCACAATCGGCCCTTGGACTGATCCTGTGACCCCATTTAACTAATGGAAAATAACTGAGCCAATCAGCCCAGGTTTTAGATGCTGATTCTGGTTTAAATCAGAGCAAATCTTTACTCATCGATTACAAGGTTTGTAAAGGAAAGACTTTCAGGAGAAACATTAAACATCAACTATTAATTGCCCATTGTCAGGGTTTGGTTGTGGTTCGGAGGACCCAAATGCAGAGGCAGAGGCTGAGGAGATTTCTGGGAGTTTTAATGGGGCAAAACAGTAAACAAAGGCAGGAATCCAAAAAATCCAACTAATAATGAAAGGCAAACCAGAACTGAGAAGACATCTGGGGAAAACCAAAGACGAGGAGCCAGGGAGAGATGAGGAACGTGGACAACAGCATGGGAGGACAGCAAGACAAGGAACCAACAAAGAGTGAGAGCAGAGGGAGAGCATATATAGGAGAGAGAGACAAAGGGAGGGCTAACGAGCTGGCAAGGAACAGGTGTGAGAGGAGACAACGAGGGAGCCAAGGAGAAAGGAACATACACACACAAGAGGGCAAAAGAGGACAACAGAAAAACATGAGAACTAATATAAATCTAGAAATACAACAAAACTGGAATTAAACCAATAAATCTAGAAAACAAGGAGCAAAGAAAAGAACAGCAGAACCAAGACCATGACACCCATAACTGTATCACTGATCATGGATGTTACTGGTGGTTTGGGCCTGTTCCATTACTGGGAAAACATTTTATTATATCCTTTTACCAGCAGAGATCCTTTTGAATAATCTTAATAATCTCAGAGTAACAGAAATGGAAGCTGACCTTCCTTCTGCACCAGAGGAGCAATAATGAAGCTCTGCAGGGTGACCTTTTGCTTTGTTTCATTAAAGCACATTAGTCGGTCTGAATTTAATCTGTATAAAGAAAAGCAAAGAATCAGAGCAAGTAGAAAGTTCAACCAGGATCTCAGGGTGAGGAATGCCATGAAATAAAGGTGTGTCTGGATTCGATTCTTATCTAACACAGCAGAAGGTCCCCCAGTTTACAGGAAAACAAAACCAGTTCCCATTTACTGTAAATCAGGTGGCTGAATGGGCACTAAAAAAAACCCAGTGAGTCATCATGAGGCCCCAGTCGCTCCTTTCTGTTTTAGAAGAAGGCTTGTCTTATTGTTGAAGGTTAGATTAGTAATCTGAAATATCAGCTTCTGCTGCATGAATTGAGCTTAAATGAATAAAAACATTTAATCAGTTATCTGCTCTGAATTCTGATGTTCTGTTTCAGTAAAATGCAGAAAGGAGAAGCTGTTTAAAGGACTGAACCTGAGCGATCCAGATCTGACCTCCAAAGGGCCTCAGGGTGAATTTGCTGACTGTTGGCTGTTTGAAAAAACACATTCAAGAGGAAACCTATGTTTAAGTCTAGTTTCTCAGGTGGGATATGGGATCTGTATCTGTTCTTTTCATGACAGTCTAAACAACACAAATCCGATTTTTTCCAATGCGACCCAGGCTGCTTGGCTATGTGGTCCTGAATCCGATACGAATCGGATCTTTTGAAATGCGTCCTGTGTCTGAACGGCCAGGTCGCATTCATCCGCCCTGAACGCCATTAATACCCGACAAAGGTCACTATTCTGGGTCTTGCTATGAAGAAGCGGCAAGAAAAACAACAAACATGGCGGGCAATGATGCGGAGAGCAGTATTTATGTTGAACCATATTGAAAAGATTGAGTTTTAATTGTTGGGAAAGAACGCTAGATGGGCGTCGGCACTACCATCCATGTTTACTTCTGTAAACATAGAGCAAGCTGGCCTGTGACGTCATCGCCTCCTCAACTGAGCATGTGGGACACTTGCGTTGTATGACTGCAGTTCACACAGGAGATCACATACAAGTCACATATATTTGGAAATGTGAAAGGCAAGGCAAAAAAAAATGGATTTCACAAAAAAATCAGGTTTTGAGCCTCAAGGCCTGCAGTGTGAACGTAGCCTTAGATCAACTTTTGATTGATTTTTCATTCATTGATTCATTTTATTTATATAAAGTCAATATTCTCAGAACAAAGCAGGGTCACTAAGGTCAACACCATCAGGGAATCCTTTCTATTTTCAGTAAAACAGTTATCATCCAGATAATAAAATGTGTCTACATGAAAACTCACCATCCAAGGTTGTCCACCTCAAAAATAAAGATTTCTCTTTATTCTCTCTCCTGTTTTATCTTCTTTTCCAAAAAAAAAAATCATTCTTCTCTCTCCTGTTTTTCATGGAGGTCTGAAAGTGTCTTCTCCTATATTCCTTTTGTCTTCAGGGTCTGCATCACAAGTCCAGTTGCACATTTTCGTTATTGCAGAATACATTCCCTGACAATTACTGTACATTCATGTTTCTTGATTAATCTTATCGAAAATTGCAAATACATAAACAATCCCTCATGGATTGGTTTAAATAAGAGATAATGGAGGAAATGCAAACTATTCAGGCCATTTTAAGTCCTTTCATCTATTTTTTGTCACGCTGCTGGGGTCATGAGGGTTGCTGGTGCCAATCTCCAGC